TCGTTGGTTAAGGAGTTTTATACGAACATCTCAAAACCAAACCAACATGTTGTTTTTGTTAGAGGTCACTATATTCATTTTACCCCATTAACGACTAACCGTTATTTTCACTTGCAGGACGTAGTCAATCAATATGTTGATTTTGAAAAGGAAGTCGATAGTGCGATATATAATGGTATACTCGAAGATTTGTGTTTGACGAACACCGAATGGAATAGCCATCAAGCTAGCCATTTTTCTATCAACCGGAAGTGTCTCCAACCTCGCGTGAAATGGTGGAATCACTCCATGAAACACAAGTAAATGTCGACTTCCCATAACACGACGGTAACACTTCCATGTCTAATGTTATTACAATCTACTGTGGTTAGTCAATCAATTGATGTTGGCCGAATAATTGTTAATCAAGTTCATGAGTGTCGGTGTTCTCAAATCTTATCACGGTATTGTGTGATAAAAAGAAGGTCATTGAAAATGATTTTGATGAAATTTTATCTGGTGTGTCGGTCATCACAAGAGCACAGTTGCCTATTCTCATGGGATTGGTTAAACTCAAATCCAAGGCATCCAATATCGAGGAGTCTGAGGAAGACAAATCTCGTAATATCGAGGCAATAGTGCTTTCCCTCAAAGAATCTATCCAACAAACAATGACGAACTTGAATGCTCTCATGGGTGATTTAAAGAATCTCTTTGGCTATGTCAAGCATAGGGATACTATTATGGAGTCAATCTTTCAGGAGATGTTCCCTCATGTAGAACGAAATTTCCCGAGTTTCCCGGATAAAATTATATTGGTATTTGACAATACTGAGGCAAACCTTGAGCCTGATGATGTCAATCGTGCTGATGTTAAGATCGTGCCAGACCCCACAACCCAGCCCCTATCTCATGTTGTTCCTGATGAGTCGTCCCATGCAACCCTAGTCCAGATGAATCACCAGAGCCTCCTTCTATGCATAGAACCCGTCATCATATCAAGACTTCAGCGAGGTACATCAACACCTCTATTATCCACTACTATTCAACATATCTAGAATCCAACCCCACACCACTAAGGAAGCGCACCAGGCGTGGAACTATAAGCACTACTATCGCAACACCGCCACCACCATAAAAATCAAGGTACCTCATTTTGTATTCATATTTGCATAGCATGATATTGCATTTAGTTTCATTAATTACTTAGTTCTCTTAAGCATTGAGGGCAATGCTTCTTTCAAGTTTGGGGGAGGTAATGTTCTTTGTAGAACATGTACATGATAGTATTAGCATTACATTATGCCATGGCATCCATAATTGGTAGGACAGTTAGATGAAATGTTTTGATGATATCTAATGATGATGAATATTTTTAGGCTACAAATTGAATGTAAATGACTGTTGAGAATGGTAGAACTGACTCTAAGACTTGATGCTTTGTGAATTATTCTTACATAATTTGTATGTTCTCTATACTTAAGAAATTTATAAAGTTTTTATGAAAGAACTCTGGTTAGCCTCGGCATTAAAATTTGGTATTGTGATTAAATGATAAATAAATATTTAAAGAACTCCCTTATGTCTGGATTTTTCTTAAAAATGAATAAATGCTTCGGCATAGCTATAGAGAGACACTCCTCTTTGCAGTGGCATTGCCTGGAACTCTCTTTAATAAATGGGATGACTTTGTGTGTTTGCATTGCTGAGGCAATGCCTGGATACCGTGTTTCAATAAATGACAACCACAACAAGTGTAAACCATAATTGTGATAGGCCAACTCTCCTCGTAGCAGCATAGAAAAATATGTGTGTATTAAGTAAAAATGGAGTATAAATGTGCTTAATGAATGAGTAAATGTTGTGGAAAAACTAGGGAACTCAATTAGAAATTGCCTAAATTCGTTAAGTGTAGATTGGATTCAATCACGCACGCACCCAACCATAAAGAATCTTGACCTAGGGAAAAGTGCTTGATTTCTTTATATGTCTAGCATGTTGAAGCCAACTTTTCTGAGGGTTGAAATTCTATTTTTGTCCTGATTGTCTTATTGTTGAAAATTTCCATGATAATTTCATTGTGTTAATTGTTATCCATTGCTTGAGGACAAGCAATAACTTAAGTTTGAGGGTGTGATAACTCTGTAAAAAGGCTACTTTTAAGGCCTTTTTAGTTAAGTTATTGTTTGTCTAAGGGTTCATATAGGTCATTTTAGATTCATATAGTTGTATGTAGATGCATTTGTGGTGGTTGTATTAGTTTTACTTTGTTAAGGTGCTATATGATGGAAATGGTGTGGTTGGTTAGTGATGTGCAGGAAACAAGGAGCATTGGGCAAGCTAAGAAATGTTGTGGCATCACATGTTGCTGAAGCATATTGCAATGCCTTGGCATTTCTGGCGCAGAAAAAAACAAATAGATATTTTCACAGGAGGACAACTATCAAAGCAAGTGTCTGCTACTGATAATCGTATGAATGGAGTCCACTTCAACCTGTAGAGATAAACTTCACGCAACAAGGAATGAATTTGGGGGTATGATAGGGATTTTGAGTGCAAAACTTCCCAATAATACCCTTAGATATTTTATTTATAAGGACACCTCAAAAGAGAGAGAGAATAGGAAGAAATACATCATCATCTTCTCTATTTTCGCCACCTCCATTAACGCACACAACAACTTTTTCTTTTCTTTTTCCTCCATTAGTGAAGCTCGAGGGAATGGCGTATTATCTGAAAGGAGCTCGCGCTATAACCGTTCGTGGTGGTTCGAGGGAAGCACAGGCCGTGAACACCTAGTGCTTTCTTCTCCAACCTTTACTCCATTGTTAAAGTTTGAAACTTTATTTAGGTTGTAAGGTCGAATGAATGATTGGGTATACTATATGGTTTGTTCGAACCCCACCATGAAATAAGCTATATTTGGTGGGGTTCATTCGATGGATGCTTGAAACTTTATTTTAATGGTTAATGGATGTTTATCTTTTGTTTTTACTTGTTTTGTTTATGTGTGCTTCATCTTTTAAGATTGTAGGAGGCTTGAGAGTGTTCATTTCTTAGATGAAGACTAGATGTTCGAGAGAAATATAGTCACTAATTCTTAAGTATTCAAGAGAAACTTAAGTATGATTAACATAAGCAGTGGGATATAATTAATCACTATAGTATAATCCCTTAGTACTTGAGAGAGAATAAGCTAGGATTTCAACGACTAAGAGGGGTAGTGCATATTTAATAGTGTAGGTTGTCATAGTTGAGACTGAGAGGAGATGTTGTGGCATTATATTCTGTTAGGTTCTTGTGACTAGAGATAGCAAGAACACTTTTAGCAAACTTAGTCGAACAAGTAAAGCATTAGAAGACTAAATCAGCTAGAAATATAAGTTTTCAGCTACTTAAGTGACTCCCCACCATTCATTCTCGAAGTAGTTTCTCGTGTGAGGATTATCAAGCTTTTCCATTTATTTGGTATTTTTACCATTTTACATTGGCTTGGCATTTTTATCATATTCATCATTATAAACTGCTCTTTTACCACAAAATTATTCACCGAATCACACTCCCTCACCATCATTTCATTCACTCTCACATTTCTATTGTCGAAATATCATCAGTGTATTATAATTTCTATACTTAGATAAATTAGTGTAGTGTTGTGGTCAAACTCATAATTTCTACCAATCCCTGTAGAGACGATACTCACTCATCACTTTATTACTTATTGCGATTGTGTATACTTGCGCATCATTTGCGTATAATTTATTAGTACTCACAACACGCAACATTACACCATTACTCACGGGACTTTACTCTCTCTCCTATTTTACTCACTGTACTTTTAGTTTTTTCAATTTGCTCACCAAAATTTATACATTGAATTTTTTTATCACTCTAAGATGATGTAGATCATTTTATTATTTTGTTCATATGACATGTCATATTTTATTAATATTTTAATACCAAATATAATTAAAATAAAAATAAATTTAAAAATTATAAAATATCCTCTTAAATTATACCTAAATTCCTAAATTATATCCTAAGCCTTAAACCACAAATTACAACCCCACCCACCCTCACCCTTGACAAGTTCACCCTCCCACTGACGAACAATCAAGCTCACCTCTGCCCTCACTCTCTTATTCATCCCTCGCAACCATCAATCAAACCAATCAATACAACCATGACATCCCCTAAAACTATATCCAAATCCCAAACACAACAAATGATAACAACTAAGAAAGGGAAAGGAGAAATTATACTCGGAATGAATCAATGATTCAACACCAAAGATTAAAAAAAGCAAGGAATTAATCATTTAACAAAGAAATCAAAAAAGGGAAAAGAGATAATTTTACCTTCAGATTTTTAGAAGGGGCGGCTCCGACGGTGGGACGACAAATCCTAATGGTGAGGAGTGGTGTTGTGGCGAATGGACCAACATATCTTTATTTGAGCTCCACCCAACGACGATCAATGGAGATCATAGAGTAGGAAGCCTTATGATTTTGGTATTGATTAGTTAACATCGGAGCATTTTTGCCGAAACTAAGGGTGGATTCGTGCTCAGGAGGTCAAAAAAGTTTATGCTGGAAAGTTTGGAGCTCAACAGCCACCGGAGACCACCATGGCAGCCACCGCAATCGTAGCCATCGGAGGCTCTAACCTAATGCTGTCAAATGTGAGGGTGAGAACTTCAATTTTAGGGTTTTGAATGCATATTTTAATATTTTAAATTTATTTTTTTATTATAATCTTAAATAATATGAAAATATTAATAAAAATATTACATGTTATATGAAAAAAAAATAATAAAATAATCCATGTCATCAATGAGTGATAAAAAATTTAATGTATAAAGTTTAGTGAATAAATTAAAAAAATTAAAAGTATAAGAAATAAAATAGGAGAGATGATAAAATTTAGTGAGTAATAATATAATTTACTCTTTATAAAAAATACATCTTTCACCATAAAAATGATGTAATGTGTCGCTAGTCTTTTGACTCGTGCGACTCATTATAGAGAAAAAAAAATCTCGACGAAGAAAAAAAAAATAGAAGGACAAAGTATAGAGCCGAGCTAGGGTTTGCTCAATTTTGTGCCAAGGTCATTTCCTTCTCTCTCGATCGAATTCCTTTTCCTTTTTCGTTATTTGTTTTCTCAATCGGGAAAATATGGTATATTAAATACATATCGTTGTTTTCGCAGGGAAGATCGAAACAGGAGCTAATGTCGGATAGTTACTGGAATCGTCAGCAGCCAACTACCCCGATGCTGTCATCAGGTGGGATGCTTAAACGACCTCGTACTGACTACGGTATGCTTCTTTCTATTCCGTTTTGAAATCACTCTCTTTCCCTTTATCTTTGCCTATGTTTACAATTTCTTGTTCAATTGTGTTTTAGTTTTAGCTGTTCTGATATCAGTATAGGAAAATTTGTAAATTTTCGATTAGATTGGTGGAATTTCGTTCAAACTTCACGTTGGACGAATGTTCTTATTCTTGTTCAATTTCTGGTATTTTGTTCAGTTAGATAAATTTATGTATAAGCACGCTTGGAAGTTCAAACTGTTTTTAACAATGGAAACGAATGGTTTATATGAGAAAACTGATATTCCTTGAGAAAACAGAAAGAAAGCTAGAGAGAAAACATAAGGAATGAAAAAAAAAATAGAACTTAAAAATCATCTTCCTTCTGGATTTATCAGCAAAGAATCTGATCAATTCAATTAAGAGACTATCTATAGTATACAAGCAAAATAATTGAAGTTGTATGTGCATACTGCATAGTGTCTGGTGGCAACAAGTTTCCTTTTCTTATCTTAGCTAGCTGCCAATTTTGTTCGGCATTGCAAAGTCATTTGCGTTCCGGTTTATCTATCCAGTTTGTTTGTAATGAGTTTAAGCAGTATGCTTTTTTCACTTATGCATAATTGTTGAAAAATATTATTTGTATTAAGAAAAAGTTGACATTTCAACTTTAACAGAACCCCCACCTTCTGGGTTGCATCCAGCTCATGAGAGGCACAATAATCTAGTAAGAGATGATGATCAAAGTGGACTTCTGTCTGTGAAAGATACAGAAACAATTGGATCGGCATATGATCGTTATCTCCAGAGTGCGGTACCATCAAACCTTTCACTCATGTGTATTTGTCACCCGTCATGCATCTTCAGTTTTGTTTTCTAAAGCATTCATTAACTTGCTTTTGTAGCAACTTTCTTCTTTTACTTCTGGAGAAGCTAGTGCATTTGGTGGGCTGGGAAGGGCAGCTGCCGGTACAATGCCTTCTCATCCAATGGCTGATCCTCCTGTGATGGGTCGTCCTGCATCTGCTGCTCCAGATCTAGCACTAAATGGTCGAAATGTTGGTTTTGGCAGTCAATTTCCCATGGACCCCATGTCAAAGCTTGGTCGGGATACCGTACCTCTACCTCCTGATGCGTCCAATACTCTATTTGTTGAGGGACTTCCTCCTGACAGCACAAGGAGGGAAGTAGCTCGTATCCTATTTAATGCTGTAATGCTTAGTTAAATCTATTTTAACTTTATTACCTTGCTTCCAACTGTTGAATCACATTCCTTAATCAAGGCTTTAGATATCTTTCGCCCTTTTGTGGGATATAAAGAAGTACGACTAGTGAGCAAAGAATACAAACACGTAAGTGAACTAGATATTGTCAAATACTCATTTGTCTTCTTTATAATGGCTTATTTTGTTTTCTTAAGTACTGGGAAATTGTCATTAGCATTTGTTGAATGCTCGAACCTCACGCATTGGTAATGAAGCGTGGTGGAGATCCTATTATCCTTTGTTTTGTTGATTTTTCAACTCCTGCCTGTGCAGCAACTGCAATGAGTGCCTTGCAAGGTGATCTTTTCTTCCCTTGGTTTTGATTTTCATAGAAGTAGCTTCTCACTGGAAAATGTACATGTTTTTTCCTCATTAAAAAATTATAGGAAATATAATGAATGCTTTAGAACAACATTGGTGCACTAGAGCATTTTGCTCAAGTGGTAGGTTACCACCCCTTGCTCAAACAAAGTTCGAAACTTGTTTGCGGATTTTTCCTTCGCAAAAGGAATCCTATCGGTTGAGACTTGCAATTGAAAAATAGATAATATGCCAAAATTTGAGCCCATTATCCTTTGGCTGATATAAGCGTTTGGAACCCATTTAAGCAACTTCTATGGTAGAAGGCAGTCTAGTTATTCCTAGAGGTCCCTAGTTCGAGTAGTCGTGTCTGTAAGGTGTGTTATTAATGATTAAGAAAAACCGATACTATTAAAGAAATTATGAGCGTTTATTTTAATGCTTCTCTCGAGTTTCTAAGTTTATTGTTGGTTTGTGCAGGTTATAAAATTGATGAACATGATCCCGATTCTAATTACTTGAAGTTGCAGTTTTCCCGGAACCCAGGTCCACGTTCAGGTCCAGGTTATGGAGTTTGCGGAAGGAGGTGAATGTCACTTGAAACAACTATGCTATTACATGCAAAGCCATTTTAAGGTAATTTTTCTCATTTAAATTGCTAAATCCTGCTAACTATTGGAGCTAGAGATTCACAAAAACGTTTAGGAGAGAGGATCAAGCAATTGCTTACACGTTTCTGGAACCTGTGTTGTACAATAACTTCTAGATAAAATAGCTTCCTTTTTTTTTAATCTTTTGGTGTTTTAGAGAATGATTGCAGCGTTTCATTTTAGTGTTAGATACACGGATTTGGAAGGTAATTAAGGATAAATCAATCCAAAGTTCTTTATATATATATATATAGGGATAGGATCATGTTACATAATGTAAAACTCTTTTAGTTTTATACATATTTAGGACCGTTGTATGAGTGAAAATATATGATTGAGATTAATTGTAGGAATTGAGAAGATATTAACTGGAAAAGAAAACAATGAGTCAATCTCAGCCATCTATTTTCACTCATCCAATATTCTCAAATCTATGTAAAACTAAAGAGTTTTACATTGTGTATGTGTGTATAATGGATAAACTATCATCCAATTATTAGTCAGTATATTTTAGATCATCCCATTATGAAAAGTTAATACCAAATTTAGTTATCAATGTATAAACATTGTATTCATTTGATCATGATTCTAAAATATTTTAAGTTAATGTTTATATATTGTACCAATTTGATATTAATTCTAAATTTTTTAGCATTCAGTTCGGTTCTGAAAAAATATAATTACTTTTTATAATTTTTTTCTATTGAGTTGGCGTTATAGATTAACCGAACTAAGAATTTATTATAGACAGTGTATTCATTTGATCTTGATTCTAAAATATTTCAATTAATATTTGTGTATTGTATCAATGTGATATTAATTTTAAAAAATTTAGCATTCAGTTTGGTTGTGGATAAATATAATTGTATTTATAATAAAGTTTTTGATTGAATTGGAGTTGCATGTTAACCGAATTGAGGATGTATTATATAAAAATTACTTTTTATACATTATTAGATAACAATGCAATGTTAGCTTTGTTATTGTCTGCATAAACCAAGTAGTCTTTGTGGTAAAATAATTATTATTTTAGGACACGGATTCGAGTATCATAGAAACCAAAACTGTGAGCATTTAATGTCGAGAGGGTAATATTTGAATAGTTATTGTTTTGTACTTACTCAAATTAATAATAAAATAATGTTGTCATTGTCTATTACATAAAGTTATCAAAACAAATTTTAAAAAGTTAAAACCATATATCAAAACAAATTCTTCATCTTTAACTTTGATATCTGATAATGATCTTTTTTCTTATCAAACAAAACCATTATTTTCCTTTAATAAGATGTTATATGTTGAAAGATTAAATTTATTAAATTAAAATCAAAATGATAAAATTTATAAGTAATGATAATCAATTTATAATAATACAAAAAATGCAAAAATGCTTAACCACTATTGCATATTTTTATAAAAAAAAAAGTAACGATTAATGCCTTGATTAAAATTATTTCAATACTTTAATAATTTAATTGACAAAATTAAAAGATCGATAGCCAAAATAAAAACACTCTTACTGTGACACTCGATACTCAATCGAGATGGTCTGACTTGAATACCAAGAGATACATTGACCATCAAAGTGACTCGAATCCAAATCGAATATTTGAAGTACATTTAAGCAATATTAAATTAAAAATTTGCATGGCATACACACAACACAAACTCATTCATCGTTAAACATTAAACCTAATCATGCAAAGATGTGTATCATATTATTTTCTTCTTTTGGTACACGATTATTTTTACTATTTGAATTTGTAATGTGATTACGTATTTCTACTCGCTGAAGAAATAATTTGATATTGAGTTCGAATGAACTTTACCTATGAAGAGTAGCGGATGGATGGATAGTTAGAAATTACCAGCCTGCTTCTAAATTCTATTACAAGCATGATCTTCGGTCATTTTATGCACATAGAGACCGCATTGAGCTTTACAACTCATTCTTTACTTTTCCCCCTTTCAGATTGACATTGCTCTCTAATTTCAGACTCGACGCTAAATGGAGGATTTCATGTTAAACTATGACATAATATAAAAATAAATATCTAACCTATACTGCTTTTCTTAATTTTTTTCGGCCAATACATGGGGTCTAACATTACAAACGTTATCACTTTAGATATAACGATCATTAAAAAATATATGTTAAGTGACATGTGTCACATTTATATGTTTTTGAAAATTTTATTTAAAAAACTTAAAAATATTGTTATATTTTAAAAAAAACCCCTAATTTTTTTTAAAATTACAAAAAAAGTCTCAAATCTCTAACCATAACCCTAATTTCTACCTTGCCAGCCATTACTGATGTCGTCGACACCACCAATGCGGCCAACGTCACCTTCCTTTTCGGTCGACATCATCCTTGTCGCGCGGGTCTTGTGGAGTCGTATAAATGTCATGATTTTTTCACTATGTTTTGTCGGATTTAAATTACAATTGGGGTTCATCGGTGGTTGTTTGTCACGTGGGTGGTTGTGGGTGTAGACGCGATCGGGGGTAGATTCAATTGACAATAACGGTGACGATAAAGGGTGACAACCGACGTAAGTATAGAGATTAGATTTAGAGTTTTCAAAATTTGGGGAAGTTTTTTAAAATAAATTTTTCAAAGTTACCTGAATGCAACACGTGTCATTTAACTGTGAAATTTAACATCTTTTACGGAGCAGACACATAAAGTGATAACGTTTGTAATATGGATTAACCGGAAAAAATATTTAGACATCACCTTATGAAAAAATGGCATAATTTGGGCACTAATTTTTATATTAAGCCTTAAACTATTTATGTTTTCAAAGTATTGTACCCTATTTTTAATTTTTAACTTTTTTGAATATCTTACGATACTTTTAAAACTTGAACTTTACAAACTTGATTTTTTTCAAAAAAGAAACAATTGATTTTATTTTCTATGACATCTCGAATATGACTCTAACATCTAAGCTAGGTGTAAGGTGTTACACTAGACCTGACACCAGTACTAGAAATCTCTATATATAAACCTCATATCAGACTAAAGGGGTCTTCTACTTTACTCTCTTTCTCCCCCACACCAACACTCAACTGCGACTCTCTACCCAAATAAAAAATAATGAATCGTCTATAACAACCACAACTCAAATACCATCAACAAATATGAATTAATTTACCATAAATAATTGGGTTAACAACATCATAAGAGAAATGGCTTATTGTTTCTTTAATAATTATATCTCTGAGTTGATAAAACGTTTTATAAATTTTTAGTTTTATCGGAACTTAAAATACATAATTTTAATCTTGAAGTTAGCCATTGGCCTCCCTAAAACTATATACTAAGATCCGTCATTGTACCTAGCAATCATTTGACCCTGGTTATTCTTCTTTTTTTAATCGCAATTTTGGAACAGATAGTGGTGGATCATATGTCTACAAGGGTGAGCACGTGCACACCTTGTAAACTAAATTTTTTTCATTTAATTATTTATTTATAATGGTGCCTTTTCCAAAATATTTGTGTCAATCCCATTCAAAAATGGCATAATGTCAAAAATAACCCCTAACGTTTACCGAAATGGTCATTCCCTCCATAGATTAAAATCATTAGCTAACACATGATTAACGCTCTAAAATAAGAGCATTTTTTAACCTAAAATGAAACATCTAGGGCTAAAATACCCCATAAAAAAAGAATACGAGACAATGATTATTCTATCAAATGTTACATACATTTTTGCCCTAAAATGAAACTTGGGGGTTAAAATGCTCCAAAAAATAGAATATGGAGGCAATATGACCATTTTGGTAAACGTTAGGGGCTAATTTTGGTATTATGCCTTCAAAAAATATGTTATTAACAATGTATGTCCATCCTCAAAGATATATATGGATCCGTGACTGAGAACAAATATTGGTGGTTATACCAATATATATATATAGATTTCTGGACCCGTCACTAAGAATATAGGAAAGAAATGTAAATGCTGAAATTCATATTCTGGACCTATTAAATGCTAAACTGTCACTCAAACTCAAGCGTGATGCTAATACAAGTCTTTGTTCAACATGTATAAGATCAAATAATTCCAAGTTTTTCAATATGGTACTTCAAAAGTAAAGAATTAGAGCAACCAAGCTTTCAAATGTAAATGAGTTCAGCTAAATAGAGGATATATGAGATCAGACAATGAATGCTCACAAGAATTAGGGATGATGCAAGTCCCATATGGGGCCAACTTCCACATTGGCTAAGTAGCAACGGTTATACTAGTGTTTAACCAAGGAGACACCTTTTGTAGGAACCCCAAGACCAAAAAATATTAAAACAGACAATATCATATTGGTTGATGCGAAACGTGGACAAGACGGTACGCCTATTCTACCTTGAGATAGTGACCAAAACTATGGCGGCAATACAATCAAGTTGGTCAACTATTTTCCCTATAGAAGGATAAAAAATTTCAAATACAAAAAAAAGGTAAGATTCAAGAACTGTAGCAACTCTTAAGATCAATTAAATATCGAATAACTTACACGGAAAAGGCTTGCTCCCCTCCAAAGCGTGGAAAGGGTTATAACCATTGTCAATAATCAAGAAGAAAGACAAAAATTCATTGTTTCAGCAATTTTTATCTTCAAAGCATCCAAAGACTTGGTGAGTTCATATACCTCTCGTTGATCCATCTCCAGCAACATTGCAGCCACTTTTCCAGCATTATTCTGTTCCACATGCTCCATTACAAGAGATAACTGTTTTCCCAGCATCTTTTGTTTTGGAAAAATAAAATGAACAATATATAAAAATTCAGAAGAGTGATGCAGTTCATTGTACGGATGATTTGGAACTTTAATGCATGGTCTAAAGCCAGTTCGCTAAGATGATGATACTGTATAACATGAACATCAAGCAGATTATTGTCCTACCTTTGTTATTGCTGAAGTAACTAAAACAGTTTGAAGTCCAAAGTCTTCGGCTTTTGATCGACACTTCTTTAATTGAGTATCTTGTGAATTTCGGAACCAAAGCCATGATCAAACATAGCATCCATTTCATCCAATACCTGCTTAGAGAATTTTAGCTATCACTAAATATGCAAGATATTGAACATCATTAAGGAGTATTCTAAAGCATTGTGTAGATGATGGATGTACTTAAAAGTTAAAATTTTGGAAACAAACCAAGAATTTGGTGTCCTCCAGAACAACACTTCCCTCCTCAATGTACTGACTAATTTCACTAGGAGTGGCAACAAGCATACCAATTGAGTCATGTGCCAAATTTTCGGATAGTCTCGATTTGCCGTAACCACATTTTGAAGCAGAATTCAACTTAGCATAACGGCTGATGAATCTGGCTGTTTGAAAACTCTGCGTGAACATCTTGATTTAATTGTAAACTTGCACTGATGAGAAATATGGGATTTGCATGAAGTGTAAATCTAACTCAGGCATTCTCATATAAACCAAATTTTGATGCCAAGTGAGCATATTGGTACAAGTAGATAAAAAAAGGAATGGACTTATAAACTTTTCTTTCGATATCCATTTTCCTGGAGAAATATATATCTCAACAAAGTGGCGTCTCTTTTTTATTTATTTGCTTTTAAAAATAACCTCTAAGAACTAAAGAGAAAGACGATATATGTCCAAATAGTTATCATACATAAAAATAAAATACAGAGGTGTTAATGAAGAACCTGGTCGCATAGTTCCTCCGAGGAGCACAAAACAATAGCTCGAGGATGCTTTGGCTTCACACTTAGCAATGCCTCGTCTTGTCTAAGAAGCTGTTCAACTCAATGTCAGTGTATTGCTTAACCTTTATTGTAAAACGTTTTTTTGAACTTTTATATACAAATCTTGGGTTTACTAAACACATAATTCTAACTTTGTTTACTCAATAATGTTATGTTAATAGGGTCATTATTTTTACTGAATTGGATGGATCACTAGTGTTCCCTACCTTGAAACATGTGTACCAAATCGAAAATCGCAGGGGGCTATAATAATTTCTGATAACGGAGTACCAATATCACAATCTTCAGCATGAACAAAAGTTAGTGATAAACTTAAATCTTGATACAGTTTATTATACTAAACATTTGGCTGTTGTTATCTCGACATAACTCGAAACATATTATTATGCATATCAAAGAAATATTAAATAATATTGGCATTAATTTGTTGAGTACACAAAATTGTTAATTACTAAATTTATGGAGGGTAATCAGCATATGAGATTATCGCCGCACAACCAAGCTCATTTCATGAATCCAAAGAAAAGGAAATCAATGGTTCATATCGGTGTGCTGTAGAATAGATATACGTGTTACCTAGAACGCAGTTCGGTCCAATACAAGAAACGAAGACTGGAACACGAAGTACTATTACTGTATTACTATAAAACATAATCAGAAAGGGTAGCTTTCTCCAGTTCATTTAGTAAGAAAGAAATACAATTTATTAAACTGTAAAGCGTTTTTTTTTCTTTTTTGGAACTATATATAAAATTTGGGTTTACTTAAAAACAATTCTAAATAAATAAATTCTAAAGTTTGTGAGTTGTTAGTTTTACTCAATAATTTCTGATCATAGAGTAGCAATATCATAATCTTCAGCATGAAGAAAAGTTAGTGACAAACTTAAACCAATTAAAAAGAAAGAATCTTGAAGACAATAGAGCTACAAAATCTTGCACAACCACTTGGTTTAACTTTAATCTCGAAGCATTAGACATAATTTTAGCTTCCATGTGCTTACCTAGTTACCTATAGTTACAAATTTCAAAGGGGAAATCAGCATTAAATTAAAGATTTCCCTTACAAGTGTAAGGTTACCATGTTAGCAAAGTCTCTATGTCAAGCATACTGCAGGGATTTAAATAGCGGTTCACTATCCGAATAGAGGTCACTACATAGCTGTAATTGTCTCTCCAAAACCATTATTGTATGATCATAACACACACAATGACCACTATAGCATCCGTTATTTCCACAATAACGATAAACACAACCGAGAACCTAACGGCAACCGCAATTGAAAGAAAAGGTTTACCTGAATGAGAGGTAACAAGAAAGCCAGAGTTCTTCCAGATCCAGTGTCAGAACTCAAGACCACGCTTTTCCCATCCAACAAAGCTGGGATCCCAACACACTGAATTTCAGAAGGAACCCATATTCCCATCTCACTCAAAGCTCCGATAATCTCAGCTTTCAAACCCAGTTCTTGGAAACTGGAAACAAATTTCGTAGCACCACTTTTGTTCTTCTCATTCTCAAAACTAACCCCATCTTCCCTTTCTTGTTTAGTTTTGGACTCCGAGCTGCTTTTCAGGGAACCTTTGAGCAGTCTTTGTCGGAACTTCTCGAGAATGAGGGAGTCTCTATGGGATTTTGGTGAAGAAGATTCTCGTTTTGCTGTTTTTATGGTAGCATTAGTATTGGAGGAAGATAGAGGCCTAATTAATGGAAAAGGCTTGATGGGGTTTAATGGTTTGGTTGAAGAAAGATTGGTGAGGACAACAAGTGATTTGGTTATTATTTTCATGCCTCTCTGTTTGGGTTTCCGGGACTCTTCGCTTTAGGACAGCAGAAAAAAAAAATTGGGTTGCACCGTGGCCGGCGCTAGTATCTAGCGGAAAGAGGACTCCATTTTCTATTTTTGAAAGGGCTTTAAATATTAAGCAGGACAAGAAATTTGGAGCTTTTGATAGATACGAAGGGCCAAAATTTGCTGGAGATTATACTCTTCAATCATATGTTAATGTTAAAGGCTCAAATCGATCGGTTCCGTACCATTTTTGTGAGTTTTAAAAAGGCTTATTATTTAATATATTATTAACGAAAAATAATTTTTTTTAAATGATATTTTTAAATATTATGAGTTTTAATAATTTTTTAATAGTTTGGGTGATTATAAAATAAGATAACAACAAAATTATCCCCAACGTTTGCACAAATGATCACTTTGTCTCCTATCCTTTTATGGAGCTAGAGATGTGAAATCAGACAATCGTTTAGGTTTCAGTTAGATACTGTAAGGCCAGGTCAAATCAGATAAGGTTGTGTCCGGTCAAATGGTTCAACTCGAATCAGGTCGGGTTCAGGTCAAATCAGTTCGGGTTATTTTCAGGTTGATTTAAAATCAGATTTAGTTCGAGTTCGGGTTGAGTTAATTTCAGTTCGGATTGATCTCAGTTCAAGTAAAAACGGTTCAGGTTTGAATTAGTTAAATACCAGGTTAATTCAAGTTTGAATGGACTTCAGGTCGAATCTCATTCAGATCAAGTCACATCATTAACGAAAAAATTCATGTCGGATCTTATAGGATACGAACTGACTTCAAGTCAGGTCATTTTTGGGTTATCTACTTTTCGCCTTTCATGAACGTTGAGTTTTAGTTTGTAATTGTATATGATTTAGAGTAAATTACGAAAATATGAATAATTATGGGGTCAATTTTGATAAAAATATAATTTAAAGAACTAAATTGAACAAACATGAAATTACAAATAAAAATTTAAATAAATTAAACAACATGCATGGATGAGGGTTCAAATCGAAATAATTATAATGTGAAGTTGAATTAATATAAAAAAAATGGACTGAATTGCATCCATTTAAAAAGTTGGTAGACAAAAGTTTATAGGGTTTGGAGATTATGATATAATCTATAGAATTTGAAATGAAGTTTATTATGTGATTTATAGGGTTTGAAGTAAATTACAAAAATATAAATAACTATGAGTCAATTTCATATACAAATATAATTTTAAGGACTAAATTGAACAAATATAAAATTAAAAATTAAATAAATTAAACAACACGCATGAATCAAATCGAAATAATTGTAAAATATGAAACTGAAATTAATATAAAAATGGACTGAATTGCATTCATTTCAAAAGTTGAGGAAAAACTTGAAACAATTAATTTAAGTATGTGCGTGTTGTGATAATATGATGCATATATATATATAATGTACATTATACTTATGTATACATTATAAGTATATACTTATATATATATATATATATATATATATATATATATATATATATATATACATATACATATACATAGATAGCGTTAATCTCACTCTTTGTAATTATTGGGGTATTGTCTAATTTATCATTTCTTTTGTACAGTTGAATATAGACTTTTGTTGGTGATTGTTTTATAGCAAAACTTTGCTTGTTTGGGTAATAAAATTTGAATTATAAAAAAAAAAAAAACATTTTCAAATCAAACCCATAAAACTCATTCCTTGTTCTTCATCTATTCATCCAAAAAAAAAACCTATTTGATAAAAAAAATCATTCTTTTTTGTTTTTGTTTTTATCAAAACACAAAATTCTAAAGAATTTCTTCTTCAGTTCTTTATCATTTTCTTTCTTTGATAAAAAAACACAAAAAACTCTTCCTATCTTGTTTTTCTTAAATCAAACTCAAACATTAATCCATGTTATTCGTCTGTTCATCCTTATTCGATAAAAAAACATAAATCTTTATTCTTTTTCTTTTTTTCGATAAAAACCCTAAAAAATTCATCATTTTCTCTTTTCGATAAACCTAGAAAATAATCATTGTTCTTCAAAAAAATTATCTCGAATCCTCCATTTTCTATTCTTCACTTTTCATATTCTATTATTGATCAAACCGAGAAAATAGCCACTATTCATCCCAAAAAATCTCTCAAATCGTCCATTTTATGTTCTTGAATCCTCATCTTATGTTCTTGACTAATATTTTATTCTTGACTCTTTACCTTATGTTCCAATGTTTCAAATAAACATGTACTATTACTTTTCTATTCTTGACTCCACATCTTCTATTATTGACTACTTACATTTCTTCAATCGAATCTTTTCATTTTTTAGTGTACGACTGATAGTCATTCGCATGAGTTAAACTTTCCAGGTAATAATGTTATTTTCTTCTATTTTTTATTTTATTTGTTATTCTTAAGTGTTCTAACTAATACATGATTATCTTTTTTTCATGCAGAAGACCTACAAAGAGATCAAAACGATCAACAATCCCAAAAGAGGTAAATGTAACCATGTGTGCAAACGTTAGGGAGTAATTTTATCATTATGTCTATAAAATAGTATCTATTCATAATTTTTTTTAACTATTGACAATGCACTCACATCCTGCAGACACACTCCAAAATCGAAATCTCTAGAGAGAATAAAACCCTCTTGGTTAAATAGAATGTTGTTCTCCCTAAAGGTCTTGAGTGTTGTTTTCCCTAAAGGTCTTGAGTTCAAGCAATTACATCTACGGATGCGGGTGTATTGTCAATAACTAAAAAAGATTTTGAACATGTACTACCTTAGAATAATCCTAAACTATTAAAAAATAATTTATAATTTCTTTAACTATAATAATTACCAACGGGAAAATGGCCCAAATAATGCTTTGAGAAAAACAATTCCCTAAATAATCCACCCCACTGTTTATTTCCCATAATATGTATGGTGTTTTCCCATAATAAATGTAGAAGACACAAATTTTTACTTGTCTTCAAAGTGGACAGGTGAAGTCTCCATGAATGTTATGCGTCTTCATCGAAGACTTCATGATTTCCATGCATCTTCAAGCATGGAGTGAAGCCCTTGACCTACACCTGTTGCCTCCTGTGAAAGAGCATTATTTGATATGAATCAATGCAATGATTCAATAGTAACTGGAGTAATAAATGGGGCTTATTGGTTTACTATAATTGGAGTAATAAATAAGTGGGCAGGGATGATAGGCTGGTTGGTTTAGGGCTAATAAATAGGTGGGTAGGGATGATATATATGGGAGAGGTTTAAATGGTATAGTCATTGGTGGGAGAAGAAAAATAAGTAGTGTTGTGTTAAAAGGGAAGAAAGAAAGCAGTGTTGAAAGAAATGAATGATAAGGTAAAATTTTTTGTTTTAATTATTTTTTTGCTTAAATTAATTTTGTTTAAATTAATTTGTATTTTTTATTTTATTGATTAATATCAGATTTTAAAAAAATTGATTTTTTCTACATATTTATTGAAGTATGGCAGCACAAAATCATCTTTTGAGACTAAATAATCAACATATTTCTACTTATTTGGAAGAGATGTTATTAATATTATATAATATATTTTATTTGAGAATGAATTATTAAATATGAAAATTGTATTTTATGGTAAATTTTATGAATCAATTAATTATAGGAAGACGAGCAACGACACCTTCGGAATCAACTCAATGTTTGTGATAAGGCACACTATCGTATCATCCATAATTTCAAAGTTGTTGGATTTTACTATGTAACATTTATTCGAGAGTACAAGCTAATCCCCATTTTGATCAATGCATTGATTGAATGTTGGGGACCTAAAACTCATACACTTCATCTACCGTGTGGAAAATGCACAATCACGCTCGAGGATGTGGCCTTACAACTCGAGGTCTTGATAAATGGGATGGAAATTGTGAGGAAAAATGAAAAAGGTCTCGATTTTATTTTTGTCATAAGTACCTCGGGAAGACGCCACTACCATCAATTTTAAAAGGGTCACGTTCGAGGCTATCATGGTTGGAGAATAAATTTAAGCTCAATCGTTATAGTACCGAAGATGAAGTTATATATGCAACTTGAACATAAATACTCCAACTAATTAGGGGGATTTTGATGTTGGATAAATCTAGGAGTTTAGTTCACACTCAATATATCCCTTTTTGGAATTACTAGTAAATATTGTTGGGGATTGTAATCGCCATTTTTACCTTATCCTCGACCGCAACAACATTCCAATAGCTTACAGCAACAACAATAACATTCCAGCAGCCTCCACAATAACAAGCCCAGAATAGTTGTCCCTCCACATGGGGCTTCAAATAGGAGCAAACTGCCCTTCCACGTTTCAGCAACACCAGTTGTCCTGCCATCACCCCAGCTCCCACGGTCTCCCTTGCTCTATGTCCCTCACTCCATCAACAGCCACACATACAAGGAGAAATAAAAAATCATCTTTGATTCTTACTTTGTAAAAACAGGGGTTGTAAAAAGAAAAATAAAACCCCTTCCTCTTCCCCCCTCGTTTTTTAAGAGCAAATATTAATAATTTTCCATATTAGAAATACAAGGGAACATTTTTTGAAGGTTTTTTTTACTCTTTTTCTTTCATTTCCAGTAGTTTTTTCTTGTAGAAGTAAAAACAAGAAAAATAGTAAGGAAATGAAACATTTACCTTTCCTCGTCGGAGTTCTTGCTGCCAGGAGTGTGTCGAAGGGGTTGAGCCTTCGACTGAGAGAGAGATGAAAATATAAAAGGGGAAGCTTTCGGACCTTCCCTGGTCTCAATCAGAGTAGGCAGCGTTTGGAACGTTTTTTTGGCACCCATATGCGGTGGCAGCAATGCGATGGGTTAGAGTTTGGGACAAGTGGCGGCTACGTGTAATAGGGAGAAAGATGAGAGCATATTAGGTTTTTTACGTTTGAGTTTGAAAATGAAACAGAATGGAAATGGGGGGTTTAATATAAACTTTAGGGGAAATCGCATGTTAGGTCCTTCTTGTTTCATCTCCTTTTGTGTTTGATCATTAATTTTGGGTAAATCACGCGTCAGGTCCCTAGTTTCTGGTAGCTTCTTGCTTTGTTCACCTATTTTATGGGT